TGCCACTCGACGAGGTTGCGTACACCCAATCATGCCATACTTCGAATAGCCGTCCTCGTGCAGGAACTGCGTCAGCTGTGTTGTTTTTCCAGACCCAGTCTCACCAACTACAACCACAACCTGGTTATCCCGGATGACGCGCAACAAATCCTCTCGGACCGCGAACGCCGGCAGGAATTCCCTCTGCTCCCGAAGCGTCTTGCTCTTGCTGAACGAACTCTGTCCACCTTCATCCTTTTTCAGATGTTGGGCGAACTTGTTTCCGCTCTTGTAGGCATCCTCCACTGGCATAGCGACCGCACTGTCGCCCTCATCCTCCTTTACACCCATGAGGTTTCCCAGCGCCGTTCCCGCCATCGTTGTCGCCTCCTGCGCTTGCTTCTGGCGTTCTCGCTGCTGACGTCGTTCGCGAACCACTTTGCTCCCTTTCCGACTGAAGACTGCCATATCACTCTGCGGGTCTCGGACAGCTGAGATAGGCTCGAGCTGTTTGGTGAAGATCGTGCGGCCATCGAGGAAGGGCGGACGGAGGTCATGGACTAGCAAATGAACTCGGGTGGCTTCTTCATCTTCGGGCATGAAGTCGCCATCGAAATCGCGTCTCTGGGCGACACCAGATGTGAGCATACGGTTCGTTTCCCAGTTGTCGATGTCCTTGCGCTTTGCGTCGCGCAGCTGTGGCGGGAGATTGGAGCTCTTCAGCCTTTTGGCTGGAGGCTGGTCGTTGGAAGCCATGATGGTGTGTAATTGATGATCGAACAACACGATCGCTTGCTAGAGCAATTAAAATGTTAATGCTTCGCAGGGGGCTACACCTCCCGCCGATAGTTGGAGAAGAAGCAATCGCCGCGAATTGCGGATTCCATCGTTTCTATCGGAGTTGCGGCAAACACTGCAAACACCGCCGCCCGCTTCGTCACGTGTAACATCCCCTCGCAAGAACAGGCAGAAGATGGTGCGGAATACATTAATATACTGAATAAAGCTCTGGTAGTTAGTTAGCTAGTTGTAGTCAATTGTACTATTTATATCTTATTTCTGCATTACTCGTGGTTTGTTCGTTAGCGACGCAGACATACTAGTTGCAACAAAGCGACGCCGCAAACACCGCGGATCCATATCGAAACTCCCCGCATCGCAACTCCGGCTTTGCAACTGCACTTTCAATCAGATTTCGACCATCATGGCCAGCCAAGCACAAGTCAACCCCAAGAGGCAACAGGGTATGTCTTGTACCGAAACTGTTTTTTTGTTACCGTCTGAAGAAGCCAGACTGATTCGAAGCAGAGCTCCAGCTCCAATATTCCAACTACAAAAACACGCTACAACAATTGGCGCAGAAGATCGGTGACATTGAGCAAGAAGCAGAAGAGCATAAGTAAGCTGCCCTATTCGGAAGGTCCTCTGCTGTGAAGTTTTGCACAACAGTGTGCCCGCTTGCGCTTGTTTGGGATGGCAACTAACGCACACTCAACACTAGGCTTGTTATCGAAACCCTCGACCCCCTCCCTAAGGACCGCAAATGCTTTCGGATGGTGAACGGTGTTCTGGTAGAGCGGACAGTTGAGGACGTTCTCCCGTCTCTCAAGACCAACTCGGATGGATTGAAGCAGGTCTTGGAGGAGCTATTGAAGCAGTACAAGTCGAAGCAGACGGATCTGGATAACTGGAAGGTAGGCAGATTGTTCTCTGGTGGTCCACATATGTGGGATGACGAATGGATTGCTAACAGTTCTGTCGCTTTACAGAAGAAGAACAACATCCAGGTTGTACAGCCTTAGAGCAACGGTGCTGGTGTTTTCTCACGGTTTCTGTATCCTCTTCATGTAGCGTTATACACTGAAAAATAATATTTCTATAGTAAAATTCTGTAATTCTAGACATCCGATCTGCTATCGTATAGTAAATCAGAGAACACCGTAGATGATTGTGAAAGGCATACAACAAATAATATATAAAGTAGCATCATTGAAGATAAACCTGTGGAAGGCCTGCGTTACTAATCTGCCCTTCCGCCAGTCTTCATCTACAACTTCAATTGAACCGAAAACTTAGCATATCCATCACCCAGCATTATCAAAAGAAATCGATTCACTGCGCACCTAAATCTGGAAATATGTGACAGCATGTCACAGCGCCGTCAATTTTCCAGTTGCGATCCATGCCGTCGCTCCAAGCGACGCTGCTTTTTCGCCTCTCCCCGAGGAGAGAAGTGTACTAACTGCCAACGACTGGGCCATTCATGCACCTCTGACTTTGCCAGATCTCGGAGGGTAAAGCCCAAGCAAGACCTAGTGCGGCCTTCCCCATCGACAAACAGCAATGAGCTACCACAAATTCCACTTCTAGGCTTTGGTAGTCCTGATGGTTACTATCAAGCCGGTACCACGCCCCCCGGGGATACCCTGATCCCGGGGCTCAACCTCAACGAAGGCCATGATACACAGAAGGGCCATGACGATATCATGGACCTCTATCTGGTGAATCGACTGGCGTCGGATTTTGTGCCTCCAGTGCAAGTATCAAGCGAGGCGCAAACGTCCGTTCGCAGCAGTCTGACGGACAGAGTGTCCTACGCGATGCCATTACTTGCTGGTAGTTCACTGACGAGTCCTGTCCGCTTGCTGAATTCCAAGCTGGATGCAACAATCTTAGATAATCGGCTGGCAAGAATCTACCACGCGATCATTACGGGATGTGCTTCCCGGTTTGTGGATTACGACTGCAATTTGTATGCAACGGCGTCACGCTACCGACTGGAAGGTTGGATTGAACAGCCCTCGCAAAGACATACGCCTGCTACTTTAGATAGTTCTACAAACACATCTTTTCCGGATACCCCAGCTTCGGTTACACCGTTGGATGCCATATCTTCTCCGGATTCAGGGATGCCATTGAACGATCTCTCCTGCACTTTTACTGTGATCGGGGCCGTCCGTTTCCTTGATCATTTCGCGGGTCTCTACGGCAATCGCATCAGTGTGACTGCGCGTAAACAGTCTGATGCTGCATTGAAATCAGTGCTTCGCACGTTCTCCCTTCAGTGGCTGCCTACCGAGACTAGATTAGCCGGTGACAGTGTCTTGCAGGACAGTGTTAATGGGATACCCACCAGCGAAGCATCCCAGAACGCATTCTACGATTCTTGGTTTCAGACACAAGAGATTCTCGAACAGGCACAATCTGTCCGGTCGTTCAGGGTTGTCTATGCCATTTTGCTTTTTGGTGGCATTACCGTTCCGACTAAAGCTCCGGTCGAGTCAACACGCGAGTTCCTTGACAGCGGCCTACAAAGCCTTTGTGCTCTGACTGAGCTTGTTAGAAAGCACTGTACTACTCTGGGAGCTCACTCTATATACAGTGGTCTGCTGGAAGCCAGTCTGAATGCTGTGCATTGGGGCGGGTACATCCGTGACCTTGGGGCATCGCTCACCATAAATCGTTCATGCAGACTTCCCATTCCGGGTCAAAGTAAAGGTAAGCTCATTGTTCTGGGCGGTTAGCCTTGGGTATCCAAGCTGAACTCGAATAGTGCTTTTCAGTACCGGCTCGATCATGTCCACATTCGACTGGTCGAATAATCACAATTTCCCTTCCGGTCTGGATGACAGCATCCCAAGTATCTGTAAGAAAGCAGTTGCTGAGGCGTTTTACATATGCAGGCAGATAGTTGAGGTCAAGAATTTACTACACTCTGATCAGTCTTTGGCTTGCATGAAGGATGTCACCTCAACGGTGGCAGCCGTGAGCAAATTCGACCAACAGTTCCGCCCGTTCATTAACTACTGCATCAGCAGCCTGGAGTGTCTTTCCTTGCACTCAAGGACAGCTTCTGGTGGGTACTCAGACTAGCGTATGTGTCTAATTACTGACAAATTGAACAGTCTCGCTCGTATTATTCTGGGATCTGAGCATCCTCATCTTAGCCGAGGCGTTGGCTCTCAGCAGGGGAAGCGACTCTGTTGACGACATTATCATCGCAAGTATGCGCTCCTATCAGGCTGAGGCAATCGCATCGGTCACAAAAACAGTAGAACACGTACTCTCGCTACCGCCAGACTCTGCCTTCAATCTTGAAAACGGTCTTGATGCTGAAGTCCCTCTCATCGCCTATCACATTACCCCGAGTTTAACGGCAACAGTCTACCAAAAGACCGTTGAAACCTTGATAAACTCTCAGCAATCGCCGCTTCATACTGGAGAGATAGCCAACGACGTTTGGCAACGACAGGTAGATATCGTGCTGAAAGGTCTCAGCTCACTCGGTGAGACCGTCGGCGGATCCGAGGCGGCCACAAGAGTTTTGCAGTCATTAATGCCGCGATATGGGGATATACTCTCTGAATGCTGGACTTCAGATTTCAGCCCTTGACTGGTTTTAGACCACCTGCGAAGTACAGCGGGTCCGACATGCGGCGTTTGCTATAAGTACGGGCGAAGCTAGAAACACGATTGTGGTTCCTCTGCGGGATTTCACCGACATTTATTCCGTGGCTAGGAAGAAAAGGCAAATATGCAAGCTCTGCGATCACCAAGGTGGGCTTACTTGCATCATGTTGAAGCTAGTACTGTTATCCCAACCAGACGAAGGACTCTGTTCCCGCAGTGAAGGTAAGGCCAAGCACCCTAACTCCCCAACAACCGCCTGTTACCCAGTAACTAATGCCGCTACTAGCAAGAACTGTTTGAATATATGGATAGACAGTGTGTCTCATAGTTCACCTGTCACTATGCGGATACGTCATGGAAATCCTATCGGTTCCGCTCTGTCGGCTCCGACCATCGGTTCCGCAATCCAGAACTTTTCTCGAGATGCAGTCTGCCGATCCTCGATATCATCAAACAATTCTTAACATTTCAGAACAACAATCAATTGGCTTCAATCTTCAAAAGTCAGTCACTTACTATACTCAAACAACAACACCACTACACAGCTTCCACACCAGCACCTACTATCTCGGGAATATACTATCCCTCCTACTACTACTATATAAATTACAATGCCTACTACAACCTCCACCCCCCTCCCAACCCTAATCTTCATCCCCGGCGCCTGGCACCTCCCAACCTGCTACACCAAACTCATCACCCACCTCCAAACCCACCACCCAACCCTCAACTGCACGACCATCACCCTCCCCTCCACAACCGGCGACCCCAGCGCCACATTCAAAGACGACATCTCCGCCGCCCGCGCTGCCATCACCCACGAAACCCTCCACCACGGACGCAACGTCGTCCTGATCGCACACTCCTACGGCGGAATGGTCGCCAACAGCGCCATAAAGGGCTTCACAGTCCCCCAAACACCCACATCCGGCACCATCATCGGCCTAATCCTCATCGCCTCCGGCTTCACCCTAACCGGCTTCTCCTTCATGGACCCCTTCCTCGGCCGACCCCCACCCTCCTGGCGCGCAAACCACACCACCGGCTTTGCAGAACTAGTCACTTCCCCCAGCGAACTCTTCTACCATGACCTCCCTGAGGAAGAAGCCCGGTACTGGGTCTCACAGCTTAGACCGCAGAGTCTGAAAGCGCTGTTCGAGGGTGGTGAGTACTCGTATGCCGGGTGGAAGGACGTCCCGTGTTGGTATATAGGCACGGAGGAGGATAGGGGGTTGCCGGTGCTGATGCAGCGGGTGGGTGTTGGGATCGCGAGGGGGATGTGTCCTCCGGGATGGAGGGTGGTGTATAGGGAGGTGGAGGGCGCCAGTCATTCGGTTTTTCTGAGTAGGGTGGAAGTGGTAAGCGGGTTGGTTTGGGAGGCTGTAGAGGGGTTTTTGAGGAGGAAGGATCTTGGGTTCGAAGGGGACGGAAGGAAGGGGGTTGATAGTTATTGGGAGAGTCAGGGTGTGGTTGTGCCTGAGGCGGATGTTTGGAGCGTGTCGACGTGGTTCAAGTATGGTGTGCCGGCGGCGTTGGGGAGGGGGGTCGGGTGGGGGTTTGCGTTGGTTGGGTGGGTTAGGGGGTGGTGGTAAGTAGATAGTATGTCTGTCTGTCTGTATATATAGTAGTAGGTGACACTTGGTTTGATGTATATGTTTATCTGTGGGTTGTCTGATTACATTCGAATTGGGTTTCTTTTCTATTTGGTAGTTGGGAACTAAATACTATCGTCGCTCTCATGTGATTACTTAGCCCTCGGTGCATGTATGTATATATGTATGTATAATTATGGCGGTGTATACTTCAGAATTGATAGAGCATACTGTCTGTCTGTCTGTCTGCATGATGAAATACAGGTTGTCGATGCCATCATACTACTTCTCTCTATCATCATATCGTCTCATGTGTATCAACTACTAAAACGTGTGATGTATGACTTCACCGATAAAATCGCTAGGAAGTATATACCGAGCATACCTACATCATATTATATCCACATCAGTGGAATGATAGGTATGTACCCAAACCTCCTCATCATCAGCAGCCTCAACGATTGGGACGCTAAGAATCTCTTCGAAGTCCGAACAGCTAATAGTTATATACTATATACGAACTGCATAGATACCCGATCCCGGGGCAGTTCTTTTTGCCTAAGAAACCTAAAGTAAGAAAAAAGGAATAAGAAAAAGGACAAAAAATATTTCCATGTCTATGGTTCGTCTGTTTGTTTCTTTCCTCTGTAATAAATAGGAGCGGGCAAATGCAAAAAAAGCCCACCCACACATTTCAACATCAATTTCGTCATTCGTGATCGTCATCATGTACTCCTAAAATGTGTTCAGTCCCACCGCCGTGAAATTCATTCATGGCCACACCATCCAAAAAACAAAACCAAATAATCCAAAAAAATATAAACCAAAATGCAACCAACAGGGTAGATAGATAGCCCTGGTCCGTGCGCCGACTGAGTGGCGGATGTTGTTATAGTAGTAATAAAAACAGGTATATCGTAGTGGGAAGAAAGAGGGGGAGGCGAAAATATCAGAATCGAAAGGGGGTAAATGACAAAATTATGACATGGTACTCATCAAACATGGACCGTATACGCAAAACAGTGATAGCTGGGAGGCCGTGGCATGTATTGACGTCTAACGGTCAGACTTGAAAGACGTCAAGGCAAGCGGGTGCTCAGAGACTATCGGAGAAGAAAACGAGCTTCTAGAGCGGGGAGGGTGTGAGGGTAAGAGGGTGGCTTGCTGTTGCAGCAACCTGTAGACCTGACTTCTCAAGTCATCATTGACGCTCATCCAGCATATGTGGATTGCCGCCGTTCAGGGGGCGGAACCGGGTAATCCCCGTATGGCTGTCGCATGTAAGCCTCGCGGGGTGCGATGTAATCTGGCCCCACCTCTCGCGCATACCTGTACTCTTTGTCTTTGGGCGAGCGAACCTCGCCATACACAGGCCGACTTGAGGAGTGTCGGGACACACTGGGACGAGCAGCAGACTCATAGCGCATGTGTTCTGTGGGGTAGGTGTAGGTGCTACTCCGAACGGGAGGCTTCGGCATAGGGCGTTCTTGACGTGGCGGTGAACCCCCCCTTGCGTATCTGGGGGACTTCTGGGGTAGCGGTATGCTGGGTTCTCTGAGCACGGTGTCCGGTTCCGTCACAATCTTGTAGCGAGTCGACTTGGGCGGACTCTCGCCGGTTGCCATCTCTGGCGTGCCCGGACTCGAGTAGCCCGAATCGTACTTGTCCGTTCGCAGTTTCGCTGTCCGACTCGCCTCATGAACCATGTTATGCAGTGGATTTTCGCGGCTCATTCCCCTGGGGCGGGAATGGGTTTGTGCAGCGCTCGCAGAGCGCGAGGGCTGAAGGGACGGCCGGACAGAAGACGGAATCTTCACTGACGGTGAAGTTGCCGCAGTTGGCATGCTAGGTACCTTGACTTCGTAGGATCGGGCTTGGGACCCGAGCTTCTCATATGATCCATTGCGAGAACTACTGGTCCGAACACTTTCCTTGCTCGGTCGTTTTGTGCGGCCGGAGTGTCGTGACGAGGAAGACTCTGGATCGGCGGATTCATAGCCATGATTGCGCGGGGGCGAGCGGGAGGTTTGCGGACGTCTGTCGATTTCGATCGGAACGGATCCCTTGGAGCGTTCAATGTAATCTTTAGCGGTGGTGTGTAGCTTGTCATGCTTCGACTCATGCCTCGACTCATATTCATCCGTGTACTCGTCGTCGTAGCGGGTCGACGTGTGCCGGCGCGGGAGATCCGCCGGTCGGGACTTTCGAGAAGAGGCCTCCCGGTTGCGCCTTTCCGAGGGGCGCTTAATTTTCACATAAACCGTGGACGAGGCGCTGGAGTCAGATGCGCCTCCATCGTCTTCGGAGTCGCTGTACGGAACGGCCCGCTCATACTTCTCGTAGGCATCCCGTTGTCGTTCCCTGGTACGATATTTGGCACGACTGCTGTGGGTCGTCCTCGAGTTGTCGCGAGCCATATCCCTCGCCGCACGAGTACTAGGGCCATCACTCTTGCTCTTCTTCTTCTCGCTCGGGGGTTTGGAGGAATATCGTTTCTTATACTCATCGTATTTCCGGGACGTTGAGCGCGACTCTTCGGAGAATTGGAGGTCGTCATCGGAATAGGTGGCTGCATCAGCCGGCGTCCTCTCCTCGTAGTACCGTCCGTTGCGATACTCGCGAGGGGCGCTTGCGCGCGGGGTGGCATAGGCCGAGGTACCATTGACCGGTACGCCTTGTTCGTGCATTTGGCGACGCAGCTCAGCCAGCCGAGCTTTCGCATCGTACTTGGCCCTTCTCGTCTCATCCGAAAGCGTCTCGTAAGCCTGCTGCACCTTCTGAAATTCATCCTGAGCCTTGCTTCTCAGCGACTCATCTTTGATTTTATCGGGGTGACATTTCAACACGAGTTTGCGATGAGCAGATTTGATATCCGACAAGGCCGCATCCCTTGCCACCCCCAGCACTTCGTATGGATCGATATCTGGCGCGGCTGCCATGATGGTCTGTGTAAGACACTAGTGAAAGATGGGGTAGAAAACATATAAACCAGCCTCAATGCAGGATCAACAGATGATTTAAATAGACAGTATGATGATAAATGCAGAGCAACAAGAAAGCGACAAGTGCCGCGGTGTGGCGTTGTATAAGAAAGCGTGGAGGACAGCAGAAGCGGTAAGTACCTGAACGGAGGGAGGCGAAGCCGGAGGGTTGCAGCGATAGCGCGGATGTGTAAGGTACGCTGAGATGGACAAGGCGGGCGGATAGACGGCTCGATGGGGTGACGTGGGTGCTTGACGATCAAAGGCGCATAGTCAGGATTGTCCCGATCGGATATGCGGCCAATTCATGGAGAAGGCCGGCGAAGACGAAAGAAGGGGAAGAAGCAGGATGACAAAAGGTAGGGTGAAACCGGCAGGCAGGAGGGGAGTCAGTTGTAGTGAACTGGGATGTGAAATTAATGAGTAATAATGAGTAAAAGGAGAATATGAACCATGCAGAATAAAAGTCACTAGTAAGAGTCTGGTTTGGAGTGTGCAGCGGGTTTAAACCAAGGAGAGAGACAGAGAGGATGGAGGGGAGGGGAGGGGGAGGGAAATTGCGAGGCAAAATAACCCAAAATAATAATGAATTAGTTGGTAGGTAGGTTTTTAGGTATGGTTACTGATGGATCCCCAAGTTGTATGGCAGGAAGATTCCCAAGTACCCAAGAGAAGAAAAAGTAAGAGGGGAACAGCTGGGGGCAGTACTTGGCCCGGGTAATTTCGCCCAGCAAACCAGACCCGAAGTTAGTTAGTAGTCAGAGTGGATGCACTCCAGTTCAATCAAGAGGGGGGAATATTCCTATCTGGTCGGGAGAGGCGACCAGCGCTGAGGGGCAAAAGGGGAAAAAGTCAAAATACTAAAGAGAAGGAGAGGAAAAATGCGAGAAAATCAAAAGGGATTTTTCCCCCAACGGGCAAATACCGCCAAACAATCGGACCCAAGCACACTGCGCCACGCTGCTTCAACTGGAGACCCGGAAGAGTGTAAGCTAAAAGTAGAAAAAGCAGCCAAATCGACTAAGACTAAAGGATGGTCAGATGAAGTGGCACCACGTTTAGTCAGGGTTGCTGGTCGAGTGAGGGAGTGAGGGAGCTAGCTGGTCAGACGCCAACGTCGATGAATAATGGCTGATGATTAAACTAGAAGACGCTCGATGATGCCACCAGCTGCGTCTGGTTGGATTGTCCTTGCTGGGGTTTAGGCCAAATGCGAAGTATGTCGGTGGTATAAGAAGTGGGCAGGAGTAGCAGCAGGGAGGACAACTGGATTCAAACAGGATTGATTGGCAACAATGACGATATAAGAGTCGGATCGTCTCGTGAATCTCTTGGGAGTGATGATGATTATGATGAGGAGGAGCAGCAGAAGGATGACTCTGAAGAGAGTAGTATGATTATGATACTCTCTGCATTCGAATTCCTGGTGCAGAGCGAGCCAACAGATGGACTGTAAAGCAGCGGTGAAGTGTGAAAGTGAAACCAACGATGGAGTCTTGTCACAATCAGGAAGCCCAAGGGCCCGCTTTGCGAGGAACAACAGCAACAATCGTCAACAGGCAAGTTGCAATAATGGAGAACCAACGATGAACGATTGGCAAGGAGCGGTCAATCATTGATGCCTTTCAGCAGGAAGGCAGGATGAAAATAGGACAATTGGTTCATACAACGTCCAAAAAGTAGATCACAGGAGGCATAAGAATACGAAATACAGGATCGAAGATTATTATTATGAAAAACAGCCGCCAGAAGGTGATCTAGAGAATGAGACGTATCATCCTGCAAACGAAGGGAAATGAAACTGGACCTGATGTGGTACAAATACCCCGGTGGTGTTTGACCGTGGGTTTATCTCCGATCCATGAAGGAACCATTTTTATTGGAGGGATTGGTACCTGGCGAGAGAAGACTTCCAGGTACAAGAGAGAAAGAACTCGTAGTATCTAAGCCTTGACTTTTGTTGACCTTCGTATCATGTTGGCTTCTCGCAAACCCTGAAGCCCTATGTGCAACTGCGGGATCGAGTGAGAGGAAGATGCTGGGCCGTTCTTAGTCACATCTTCATCACGGTCACGGCGGGCGCTTGGCCAGAAATCCATCTTGCCTGTCCCATTGCTAGCGTCAAAGTTACGACGCAGAGGAGACTAAGCCATGGGTGTCTGCAGGACGAGTGTCTGTTTGGTCATCCACCTGGTGGTCCCCGGCAGATGAGCGAATTCGACTTTGCGACCGTCAGTCATCAGCCTGATTGATCTGCGGGGCCTTTTCCACGAGGAGATGTTCCTCTATGGAGTAAACTATCCATCTATCCGGTAGTACTCTGTAACTAACTAGCAGTAATAGGTTAGTAGTAAATAGTAGCTGAACAGGGCACTCTCTGCCTAGTGAGCGTCTAGTTACTACTAAGCAGTAAGTACTACTACTGTTTGGTTTCTAGGTTGATAATGACTAGCAAGTAGTAAGTAGTATCTACTGCGTACTACCTCCCATAAGTACTCCGTACATATGGTAGTACGTCGTAACAGAATCTTTCTTCTCTCATTGCTCTGATTGAACCACCGAGACTTCCAACACCAACTAATCATCGACGTTTGC